GTCCTCAAGGCCTATTGTATATGGGGACCCGTAAATACCCAAGTCCTGTCATATCGGGGTACTCATAGGTCCTCAAGGGCTATCCTAGAGCCAAGGGAGAAAAAGCGGTGCCTGGTGGATCCTAGGATCCAGTAAGAACCACAGGATCCATCAAAGTCAATTAGGATCCAACAAAATCCATTAAAGTTCATAAGTATAGATCAATGCTCTAAATATCCACAAAAGCAAGAAAATCAATGAGACTTATAAAATAAGGATATATATATCAATTTTCTGAATGAATCAATGCGATCATCATGTGTTATTGATACAACTCTGACTCATATATTTTACAAAAGAAAAAGGGACCCTGACGAGCATCCCACGATCTATTATGATCCATACAGATTCATTGGAATTCTTGGAAGCTAAACAGAGGAGGAGTCAGCCCCAGAATTTCTGACGAAGAAAAAAACTTTGAAAGTGAGATTTTTGTGGGCAACAATTAATTTTGAGATATCTCAATGAATTTTGCAGTTTATACGATTGAATAGGATTCACGAATATTCAAGTTTTCCATATTGATCTCAAATTATTATAAAGCTTCTTGGCTTCTGCTGAATTCTTATTGCCTTTCATAGGTTGTAATAGACAATGTTGAACTTCTGCTAGGGAAAATCATAGATGTTTTTGAGCTAGCTCTCGGACATATGCAACAAGAATCCTGCATATGTTCACCGTTTTTCCAGTGGGAATTAGAAAGTCTGAAAAAAAAATGTATCCATAGCATTTTAAAATGCTGACAGAACTTGAATTGAAGGCCAATGATGATCGTAAATAGTTTGTTACTGTTTTGTGGTCATCAACAAACCAAGAAGCTGCTAAACGTTGAGAAAATCGTGTAGCCACGGGGCTTCAAGATCTTGGCAAGATTCATAATAAAATTCTACCGGGATCGTGAGCAGTTTACCAATGCAACTTTAAACCAGAAATATGCTAATGGAACGGTAAATCCTTATAAAAACCTGTACGCATGGAATAAACATATCTTTTAGGATTAAAACAAGATGTCAAAGTCATTCTGAGCCTAATGGCATAGATTTTTTGTCAAGATGTTCTTAACATTTAGATGATTTCTGGTTGAATAAATACTTCCTGAGTTTACCTAGCAGCACTGCACTACTATTCGTGAGGAATGTTATCCAATGTCTTGGAACGAGCTCTGTAGAGTTCTCTAAGCAGAAAAGAGGAGAACTGGGGGCATGCAATGTTGATCTCTAGATCTTTGATTCACAAGGTGATTAGTTTACCGCCGTAGGCTGTACCAAGTTAGTTAATTTAACTTAAACCTTTCATATTCTGCCTTCTCTCTGAGCTGTTAATTATTATTTGCACTTCACGTGACCATGAATTATTTTTAGATAAATTCGAAAAATTTAATGCTAAACTTAATATATTGATTACTTGTCTTGAGATTTTACAATGAGTGGTTGATTTCATTTCGAATATAACATTATTTTTCTGATTTTTTCAATACGAATAAATTGGATCCAGTGCGAGTTTTACTAGAGGACTCGTCTCTTACTAAAAACGTTATTGCAAAGACAAATTTAATGCAACACTTAATCTGATATTCAAGCACCCATTTCAATGGGTTTTCAAGTTTCATGTGAAAATAAAATCCAAATCGAAACTAAATTCCTTGCTATGAATGTCATATAATATAGAATACAAATCTTAAAAAAGGTTTGAAGAAAAATCCTCTAAAATTCTTCCTAAAGTCAATTCCTACCAGAGCCGAGACAAAACACAGTAAAATNAAAACTTCAGGGAAAGCAGGATAGAATTTATTTTTTGCATGACAATGCCAGACCCCATATTGCAAAATCGACGCGTGAGAAATTATTGGAGCTCAGATGGGTTACGGTTCCACATTCATCTTATTCTCCAGACTTGGCTCCTACGGACTACCATTTGTTCCGTTCTCTTTCTAATCATTTGAAGGAGAAAAAGTTCGATGACGAAAACGACTTGGAAATGGATCTCTTCAACTTCTTTGGCCAAAACTTGCAGGACTTCTACGAACGCGGGATCCTTTCTCTACCAGAGCGTTGACGACAAGTCATCGATAACAATGGAGCATACATTGTTGAAAGCTAGTTGTATTCTTGATATTAAAAAATAAAAATAAAATTTTCAGAAAAAACGACACAAATTTCTTGCCAACCTAATATTTACTAGTCATCATTTTACATCGTTCTACGGATGGTTGTGCTTTTAATCATGAATAAACCGATAAAAGACATTGTATAGAATTATTTAAAATTGGACCAACAGCAAATTCATCTTGTATCTGCTCAAGAAAAGACTTGATTGTTTGCTCAACAGTAACCAACTTGACAATATTATAAATACAGAATTGATATTGGTCGGGGAAAAACTATATTGGCTATGAAAATATCCGTCAAACATCCAAATGCTTTTTGTCCATGCATTTCAACCGATTCGAGACCTTTATTTCTAAACATATTTAATAAATTAAAACCTCTAGTGACTGCTATTTCAATACTGAGTGTCCCTCAGCTTGTATTAATTGTAAGAGTGCAATGATACAGATGTATCCAATGCGAATGTAAAGTTCAATATATACACACTATTTATCTTTTTCTGTTTTTAGTCATTTAAACAATCAATGAAGTGGTATACATACAGTTGCTCAAAAAAGTATTGGACCACCCTGCTTTGTCTTATTCAAAAACTTGATTAAGAAAAATCTTTAGAAAGCAGACTTTTGTGAAACTTATGTATTAAATAGTGAAAAATTAAGAAAAAATGTATGAGTGACAACTTTGTATTATTATGTGTATTAAAAGTACCTATATGCCACATTGTAGAGCAGCTTGCGGCGTATCGAATCTTCAACAACTAATCAAATTTTCTCTCAGTCTTAATCCATTGAGAATCCAAATATTAACTAGTTGGAAGTCACATATTAAACCTACGTATACAAATACTTCAGACCAAACGCTAGTGTTTCTCACTTTCTTGGGTGCTAGTATGTGTTTACAGAAGTTCTGGTTTCTTTACTATATAGCCACATACGTCCTCTATCAACACTATAAAAGGATAAAATGAAAGAAGAAAAAGAAACAAATACGAGTATACCCTTTCATACAGCAAGTTCAAAATTTCAGTTAATGTATAAAATTCTAGACAATTTCTTTTACTTGAAACTAAATTACTTGAATTTGAAGCAAGCTTTTGCATTCTAAAACTTTCGATTAATACATATGCGTCGAAAAACATGAATTCAATCTGTTTTTTTTTTATAAGAATCTCTGAGCTTCCATCATGTGTATGGTAAAAATTTCTCATGTCTTCCCCATGTGTCTTAAATTTTTTACCGAATATCAAGTAAATATATGTATTCCAGAAAACTAAAGGAATCTTTGTATACCTCTCTGAATTCTTACGAATTTTCAGAATTCCCAAAACATTTCTGTCTATTTTCTGAATATAGCTCATCAAGAGCTGTAAAAGCAGTATATTTCTCAACAGAAGTTGCATATGCTTCAAGTCCTTAATGGACAAAAAAGGTAATTCTTTAATAAGATTTAAGCATTATATAAAAATATTATTGTTTTTAAAACTAAAACGGCAGCTTGCAATTATTTCTTGAAAAGTGCTTTGAGTATAATCGCTGTAGCTGTATTCTTGCCTGATAATTGTTCTACTTCATTTAATATTTCCATATCAAATATGCCATTATTACGGCCTCCATCTCCAAAATTGACTACTCTAAATGCCACTATTGGAGCACAATTAATCAAACATCTGATGGCGTCACGTTTGGGTTCTAAATCTGTATGCGAAAATCTCAAAGCAGCGATAATAATGGGACGGCAAACTCTCAGAACAAGTGCATGTGTTTCATTTCTGCACTTTTCTATGGTTAGTTTTGAACGAAATAAATCCCGCAATTGCGGACACACTTCATTCAAGATGTTTTCAAACTGGCAAATGTATTGGTGATAGAAGTATTCAGCCAGAATGTCAGACGATTTGTCAACAATTTTCTCCAGCTCAGCACATAATGATTCTCGTTCACTATTATCAATCGGATGAGTATTTAAATGTATTTTTGCATAGTTAGGCATTTCAAATATCATATCTTCTACCGGATGCCGTCGTTCCATGAATTGTTTTGTTCGCTCCATAAATGTATTATAAAAATTTTTTTTGACGCCTGCAAGAAATTTAGAACGTTCTTTGGTAATAACAGTTGTGTGCCAAGTATGTGCTCTGCGACACATTGGAGAGAAAATATGCTCGCGGAAAAGTTCATCCCATTTTTCAATATTATATTCTTTCACATAATCATCAATGGACATTTTCATTATATTTTCCGGTAACAATTGCTTCTCTTTGATCCGTTGTAATCGTTCCAAAACAAGACGTGTCAATTGCATTCGTCCGATATCGAGCAACTGCTTTAAATGCGTTTTTGGTAATTCGAATTCGATAAAGTTCTTAAGACCATGTTTACTATTTTCGAATCCATTTGCGAGTTCTTCACCAAAGTGGCGTACTTTGTGATCGATAACACGAAATTCTTCCGATCCTGGATTCAAAGTCTGTAATCGTGGACAAGCAGCATAGACACGTTCGGATTTAAAGTTTTTATCTAACAATTCCTGAGCGGCTTTCATGTAATGTTCCTGATACTTTTCTGCAGTTTGGCAAAGATCAAGTTTAGTAATGATACCAAATGCACGTTCCATGGCTCCGAATTGATTTTGTTGAATTTCACGAAGAAGACATATTTGTGGTTCAGTTAAACTTGGTTGCTGACCATTGGTCAGAAAAACGAAAGCATCAGCTATTTTTACAGCTCGTAGACCAGCATCACGGTGTTCTTTAATTGGCGAATCGAAACCGGGCACATCGAGCAGCTCGTAGTTTTTTCCTATTTCATTGAAAGACAAGAGTAAGTGTTAAGTAAAAACGCGATTCAGTTAATATATTAGAGTTATACACTAGCTTAGTAGAACGATTACGCTAAATATGAGTGATTTCATAATTCTATTACATTCTAGGACGACTCTTCTACAACAACGAGCGTCCCATTGTGTTTTCAATGACTACATGTTAAAAATTGAGGTTAAGGATGAGGATAGGGATGTCATTACCTGAAGTCGTCACCCTAAAAGTCATTACATATTACAAACAAGAGAATGAAAAGATGAAAGACAATCTAAAGAGAAAGAATATAGCGAGATAGTGTTGGATATTAAGAGCTTTTAAACATGAGAATATGTGAGCATTCCTAACATATAACGGACACATTAATAACGATAGCCTTCATGTAGCTTCCTAACTTCAATACCTAACAAGAGATCTATATTGGATAATAGAAATTTGTTGTATTAAAGCTGTGACTCACATGTTCACCAAAAACGTCTGAAACTATTATCATTGAAGATAAGTCAGGGATATCCGACTGATAATTATATGCCAGTAGAAAATCCAAACTGTTACTTGTAGTTTATTAGATGTTAGTTCCATAATTTCTGAAATCGATATTTATTGAATACTTGAAATATATATTCAAGGAATTCAGCCTTCGTTTTTCAGGTTCTTAAGGAGCCATTAGCAATTAATATTAGATGCAGAATACGATTTCTAACATCGCACCTGTGAATTATCTATAGCATGATTATTTTATCAATAATGATGAGGCGAAGCATGAAACATGTGTACTTTTTTCCTTCAAGTGCCTTAAAAGTTAGTCATAAGTGCCGAGCGAAAAGATTCTGAAAGTTAAGAAATTTAAGGCAACATCAAATGAAAAAAAAAACTGGACTTATCAGAGATAATGAAATATATTTGTAGATATGAAAAATGTCTTCAGGATGGTTTATTGAATGAGGCAGTTAACAAAAATACACATATGAAAATAGGCGTGATGTCTACTATGAGGCATCTGATATAATTACATAAAGTGCTAAATTTACTCGAAATATCTTTTATGGTTACCGATGTCAAAATGTAATATCTAGTAGAAAATTTTGCATTCAACTAGGTTAGGTTTTGAAGAAAAACTTGTAAACCACCAAAACAGTACGATAGAAGACTAAATATTATGGAGTCAAAGAATAAACATTGGTAAAGTATAAAATATGATTTGGCACAATGTTTCAACAACTGCTATAGTTGTAGATCTTAAAACACAAGAAAAATTGCCTAAACGACCTCAAAGAAACAGGTATTCTAAAATCATTTATTAGTCTATTTTAGCAGATATTCAGGGTACATGAGAAAACATGCAACCAATTTTTATAACTGATGTATAATTCGATACACGTACATTTGCAATATACAATACAGCCCGGTGAACTGCATTTAACGAGAAATGTAAAAAGTTCTCAAACATGTACCAGAACCAGCATTTGACTTTTATAGACGGCTTGATCTGCTAAACTTATTGACTCTAAATTCATAGACGTAAAAAAAGTGTCCAATGCAAGCAAATAGCCTGTTTTACCAGCTACTATCCTCTACTATGACTAAGCCCAGTCGACAACTCATGATTACTTCGTTTAAAGAAAATTTTGTTGGGATATATACTTCGAAGAATGAGATGTTGATGTTTCATATACTGTTTCAGCTTGATGGAGTAATGCTTATGAATATTATTGAATTATTCTTTCTGCAGAACCTCGAGAAAATCTATAACGTCATTTGAGTCCTGACATCGCCGGATGAATGCATATGAAGTAGGCTTTTGACGATTATAGACCGCAAATAAAATGGATAAAAAGATTTTGTTAGAATCTGTTTAGAAGGTATGCATAAAATTGGCCGAAAGAAAAAATGTCGAAAGTAAAAAATGTCGAAAGAAAAAATATCGAAACCTATAAAAGTAGAGTTTAAGTACCTGCGACTCATGTAAAGCTATAATAAATTGCTGCTACTGTAGATCGCTCATGTAGTGTGCGTGAGAGGATGTCCTAAACTCCTATTAAAACAACTTTCGATATTTTTTCTTTCGGCATTTTTTACTTTCGACGTTTTTTCTTTCGGTCTTTTTTATACCATTCGTTTAGAAAACCTATTTCAAATTCAAATCAAAATTCACCGATGAGTTTAAATACATCTTCTATAACGTACCTGGTAGAGTATCAGTGTAGATAGCTATTTCTTTGATGATATTAACGTACAACTCTCCAATTATGTACGTACGTAATTGGTCAATAATCATCACACGCTGTTTTTGCATGTCACTTTGACTATTCAAACGGAAAACTTCTTCGGGAAATTTAGATTTGAGCAGTTCTCGCTCTCGAGCAATATCCTGTTTACGCTTTTCGAACTGATTTTGATTGTCGTCTGTTTTCAATACCATTTGATCAAATAGAGCTCGAAATTCATCGTCATTGTAAAATTTTACAATCGCAAACACATTTTCCTCACTATTTTCAGTAGGTGGTTTTAGGACAGTTCTTATTTGTGTACACCTCTCGCTTGCTGTTGGTAACAATTCGAAGCCAAGTAATGCATTTATAAATGTGGATTTGCCAGCTTTCTCCAACCCGACTATGCAAATCGTATGTGTCTTCTTGTTACTTAGCTCTTTCAGTTTTGTTAGACTTTTCTTTAGTTCGTCAAGGTAGTAGTCCTTATGACTAGTTAACGTTATTTGATCCATGGATTGCAGACATTGTAAAATTTTGTAGTAGCCTTGAATTATAAAATCAAATTTCTCTTTTATTTCAGTTGTAGCGTTTTCATCAATATTGCGTAAGTAAGCATACAACTGATTCCATGTCTCAGCGGAAAACGCTTCATCCCGAGCTTGTTGCAGCTCAATATATCCCGCGTGAATTCTGCGTATTTTATCATTATTGTCATATTTTAATTCGTTTAACTCCTGATTCAACCATTTTTCTTTTAATTTATGTTTGAAATGGTCTTGTTGTTTGTGCAATTCATCAAGGAGTTGTTGAAGCCAGCGATCAACTAAACGAGAAAGAAAAAACTAAGCGACTATAGTATTAGGATTCCCCTGTACATAGACAGTGGTCAAAAGAATAGGCAATATATGTGATGTATTCATCTATTAAAATGAAGTAAAATCTTGGTCTATTTCACTTTCAATCTAGCTGATTAACGTCGATAGTACTCTTACCAAGATAGAGCATTTCCGTAGGATCAACGCCATATTCTGCGATAATACTGCGCGTTCTTATTTTATCTTCTTCAATTTGACTAACAGTGCTAGCAGCAACTGCGGCGCCTACTTCATATGAAGTTTGAGCGATAGAAACTTCCTCCATTGATTGTTTGATGTTGATTTTGGAGTTTCGGTCTGCAGATAAAATTGTAGATGCTGACGAACTGCCACCATTTGGATTTGGATTTGAAATAACAGGATCGGAAGTAAATATACTTGACGGATCTTGTGAATGATTTAATGTCTTCGTAACCGTTATCTTACTCCAGTCACCCGCTGTATTGTCCCGAGGTCGTGGTGGTAGCTGGGGTTTATCTGCTGAGCTAGGTAGCATGATCATAGAATTTTCTTCGTTGGAAAACTCCATGATGTTGGCCCTTTTGGACGACGGTACTTTCGAAAACATTTACGATCTAGAAGTTCAGAGTATAATTATTCTTTCTCATAAGCACTTCCATTCAATCAGATATGACTATTCAATAGAGACTATCAAAAATGAGTCCATGACCAAAACGAACCACAACATAGTTCAAAGCATTACATTTACTGTTAAATGCTCACCGAGAGTAATTTAAAAACCCTTGCTCATGAAACAAAATGCAAAAAATGTGCTAAATGACAGCTTTTGGATAAAATGGGTAGTTTTTGAAGCGTCAAAAGGGTACAATTTTCTAAAGCTCAGTTTTCAAATGTATCTTTTTGCTTTCTACAATGAATAAATGTTCAAGCTTGAACAGTTGAAAGTTCTTACTATCTTCACGTGTAAAAAGTGCTTTTTGGAAAAACATTTTTTCTTACATTTTTTGCGTTTTATTTCATGAACGTGAGTATTTTACTAGGTCATGTTATTAAAAACTACTAGACGTAATTTGCAAACCACGTAACTATACGAATTTTGGGCATGATTCTTCTAAAAATTCACTTATTTAAACGGAGTATACGTTTCTATGCGTTTATATTGTTTTAACAAGTATAAAATCCAAAACAATATGCGATTTTAACGTTTATTAAACCACGAGTTTTCATCATTTGTCTGACTAGGTTCCGATGGAAAGGACACCCTTGAAAACTAAAAAAGGTGAAAAGCCACGTTATTGTATTATGTAAGTGTTCTTTGCTTTTAGAATCCAAAAACAAAATGGTTTAAGAGTTCTAATTGCTCAAAATTTTGACATTTCACACATCAAAAGTGTCTAGTCTGTTCGAAAAAATTCGTTTTGTGCGTTTTTTCGCGAGTGTGATTGCATGATAAGTATAGGATCCCTGATTACGTGTGTGAACAAGTCTTCTAAAATTTTGGCTTGCTTAGCTGGTACGCATACGCATATTGGCCAGATAAAACACACTTAAAACTATTTGGTATTACCACGCTACTCGGTAATTTTCAAGTATTTATTACAAAATACACTGAGGTCAAAATATTGCTTCAACCGATTCAGTTCTTATACTAGATTTTATGATAAAAATATAAAACCGAAAAATGTAACATGCGGACCTTTTTATATAAACTCTGGATCAGTATTAGTACCGCTTTTAGTTTCTGCAACAGCTTTGGATTTCTCGATGTCCGATAATAGTACGAAGATAAATGGCTTTCGACGCCATAGAAATCTTTCGAAAGGTAACACGAAATCCATAAGAAAAATCAAGGGGGAAAAAGCGGATCCTGGTGGATCCTAGGATCCATTAGGATCCATGAGGATTCACCAGGATCCATGAGGATCCACCAGGATCCATGAGGATCCATCAGGATCCATGAGGATCCATGAGGATCCATGAGGATCCATTAGGATCCATCAGGATCCATCAGGATCCATGAGGATCCATTAGGATCCATCAGGATCCATCAGGATCCATGAGGATCCATTAGGATCCAAAAAAACCATTAAAATTAGCAGTATAGATCAATGCTGTATATATCGATAAAAGCAAGAAAACCAATGAGACGTATAAAATAAGGATATATAAATAAAAATCTTTTGTGGATGAATCAACATTATGATCATGTGTGATTGATACAACTCAGACTGCTACAATTTACAAAGAAAAAGGGATCCGGATGCACATCCCACGATCTATTAGGATCCATGAAGGGCCATTGGAGTTCTTGGAAGTGAAACAGACGAAGAGGCAGTTCCAGAATTTCTGACGAAGAAAGAAACATTGAAATGGAGATTCTGGTGAGCAGCAATTAATTTTGAGATATTTCAATGAATTCTGTAGTTTATAGAATTGAATAGAATTCATGAATATTCAACTTTTCCAGATTGATCTCAAACTATTACGAAGCTCCTTGACTTCTGCTGAATTCTTATTGCCTTTCATAGATTGTAACAGACAATGTTGAGCTTCTGCCAGGGAAAATCGTACATGTTTTTAAGCTAGTTCTCTGATACATACAACAGGGATCCTGCGTATGTTCACTTTTTTTTTCTGTGGAAATTAGAAATTCTGAAAAAACTTGTACTCATCGCATTTGAACATGCTGACAGAACTTGAATCGAAGTCCAATCAAGATCATAAATGATTTGTTACTGTTTTCCGGTCATCAACAGACCAAGAAGTTGTTAAACGTTGAGAAAATCGTGTAGCCACGGATCTTCAAGAACTCTATTAAACTTACAAAAAAATTATATTAGGACCGTAAACAGTTTACCAATGCAATTTAAACCAAAAATGTGCTAATACGGCGGTAAATCCTTACAAAAACTTGCAAGCATGAAAAAACATATCTTTTAGGATTAGAACAAGATATCAGAGTCAGTCTAAGACTACTCGCGTAGGTTTTTTGTGAAGATCTTGCTAACATTTCAATAATTTCTGAGTGGAAAAATTTTTCCTGATGTTGCATAGCAGAACTCCACTACGATTCGTGAGGAATGTTATCCAATGTCTTGGCAAGATCTCTGCAGGGTTCTCTAAGGGGAAGAGAGGAAAAAAAAAGGGGAGCATCCAACGTTGATCTCTAGATCTCGGGTTCAAAAGCTGATTAGTTTCCATTCGTAGGCTGTACCAAGTTGTTTAATTTAACTTAAACCTTCAATATCATCTCTTCTCTCTTAACTATTAATTATTATTTGAACTTCACGTAAACTTAAATTATTCCTAGAAAAATTCAAAAAATTTAATGTTAAACTTAATATGTTGATTATTTATTTTGAGATTTGACAATAAGTTGTTGATTTCAATTTGAATAAAACAGTATTTTTCTGATTTTTTTTTCAATACGAATAAATTGAATCCAATGAGAGTTTTATTAGAAGATTCGTCTCTTACTTAAAACGTCTTTGTGAAGACAAAATTAATGCAACACTTGATCTGATACTCAAGCATTCATTTCAATAGATTTTCTAGTTTCAGACGAAAATAAAATTCATATCATAACTGAGTTCTTAGCTATGAATGTGATATAATATAGAATACAAATCTGGAAAAGGTTTGAAGAAAAATTCTTAAAAATTTTCCCTAAATATGATTTCTGTCAGAGTCAAGACAAAACACATAATAAAATTTGGAGTGGTTTTTCATTTTTTTTTCTACTAATATTTGATTTAAGATACACGATGTAATTTTTCGGAATTCAAATAGTCAAAAATATTCAAAAAAATCTTAAATACGAACTAGTCACTATTTTTCTGTAACATCTTCATAATTCCTTTTAAAATGTTTAATTACATTTGTCATAAATCATGGAAGAATCCTGAAGATCGAGGTCTCAGTAAACTTGAATGAAAACTACAAAGATCTTTGTTGAGCCTCGGTATTTTTTCAGATAGATTCGGACGATTCGTGTCCTTCTTTAGGAAGGACCTGGAATGCTTGTCCTTGATATAATATTAAGAGAACCTTGGAAAGGCTCAGAACAGATATTCGTACTAGAAATGCGTGAGAAAATGAACTAGAATCATAATTGGATTTGAACAAGACTTACAAGATGACAATTCTTAGTGCTCTTGCATGATTCTTTGTAGGATCTTTGCCTAATATAGTCGTAAGACCTAAAAATATCATATCTAGGGAACTACCAAGTGGTTCCGAGCCCGCAGGACCTATTTTGGTATCAAAAGTTTTTTTTTGAGACTACGACTGAAACTATTTTTAGCTGCTCACGAAAAATCATTTTGAATGAAAATTAGAAAACAACTGTCTCTTGAAGTCAATTAATGCCTAATAAGTTTTTTGATTATTTCATTAAAAAAGACTGGTGTTTTCAAATATTTCCTAATGTTAGCACATTTATAACATTCACATAGGGACAAATAATAGACTTTTTAGACGAGCTCTAAGATCAGATCTAAAATTTTACGCGTGACACGACCTACACTTATGCGCCACGCCGAAACAGGTGTCGTATAGGTTCTTTTATATTCACCGTCACGAAAATAGGACCGGGATGGGGCTACAACGAAAAATATTAGTCACAATCGAAACCAAAAACCGTGGTCCTACAGTTCCCTTATCATATCGCAGAGATACAAAACGGATCCCAGTAAAACATGGATAAAATCTAATAGCGTTCATCATGCAATTTTTCTCAAGATCTTGAGCAAGATCGAGTGTGAATCCTAGTAGGACTCTTCTTTATTGAATGATAGAACAGTCTGACAAAGAAATTAAAACGACACTGAGAAAAAGCCCTCTTTCACAATGAGATATTCCGAAAACAGATATTATTAAACTCAGAAACAGAATCCTGAATAAAATATGACAGCAATTCATTAGAGAAAATCAGAATGCAGCAGAAATCAATAAGCAACACAATGATATGAAATTGATAGACAAATGGTAGATCCTAATGTATTCTGAAAATAAACAGAATCCATCATGATATGACAAAATTTATTGAGACATATGCGTACCTCAATGTTCAGGATTTTCTTTCTTTACTTAGTCACAAATTCCGAAGTCATTAACTCTTTTTTTCATTCATTTCTGTTGGATCCGAATGGATCATCGCCTTCATGTGAATTAGTATCTTCCACCCACACTCTAGTACACTTCAAACGATAAATCCTAACATACATCAGACTCCATTAGGATCCATTAGAATCTATTAGGATCTATGAGGATCCACTAGGACCCATGAGGATCCACTAGGACCCATGAGGATCCACTAGGATCCATCAGGATCCACAGAATCCGCAGGATCCAAAAGGATCCACTAGGATCCACCAGGATCCGAAAGGATCCATCAGGATTCACAGGATCTGAGGATCCAGGATCCGCTTTTCCCCCCCTTGTTGATATCTATACTCACGGAAAAACATTTTGAAAAAAAACCGCGGTGCGCAACGGTAACTGACACTATGGTTTTAGACGGTTTTTTTAGGTAACGCAAGTCAGACCATTAATGAGGTTTTCAAAATCGCTCAAAACCACAATTTATGAAAACGTGGTATTCAGCGGTTTCTCAAACCGCGTAAATCATCTGGATAGCGCTGCATCGAAAAACCGCTACAAAACCCAGTTTTTATGCAAATTCTTTCCGTCACGCACCAGAATCGCTCGACTCTGATTAAAACACAATTAATTTGCAAAATCAGATGGGGACCTTTCTCAAGAGGTTTGCTGAGACTGGCAAGTTTGTTAATATATTTTCCTATATATAATCTCTTCCCCTAAACAAGTCTTCTTTTAATTGATATGCTTATACTTTTTTTATCGGAATTGTTGTACCATCTGTATAAAGTGAGGCATTCCTCATCGATGTGGAAGCTATATAATCAATGTATTGTCGAGCGTTGTCCTCATAAAATCTTCTTGTAGGACAATTATTTAACATATCATTTAGTTCTACTTTTATAGCATCATATATATTTCCTTCTCTCATATGATGGGGAATTATTTCATAATAACCAGCCACTATTTCAGACGATCCTGTCGACGTAGTTGCTTGATGATCTTCTACAAACACGACCATTGCTAGCATATTGTCTATGTCTACATTTTCGTAAGATATACCTTTATATGAAGCTTTTGGAGGAATGTGATTAATTTCAGAAGTTCTTTTTCGTCCTGACAATTTTCTAGATAAATCTTTGTAGTTGTTTGCAAGTGGATATGTACCAGCAATTAAAATCTCCTCAAAGGATGCCTCTCTTTTAGCTCCTCCTACAATTAATAAACAATTTACTACCTGAAGATGATGAGATTCAATCCATCGTTGTGCTTGTACTACTTTCAAAAATTGTTGAGGATTATCTTCTATGTTTTGGGCTCGATTATTACGAAGATTGTCGATAGATTTATCAATACCTCGATCGTTTAATATTTTCTGAATAGCATTATAACCACAATTAGTTTTTTTTACTTGGAACATCTATTATGATACCATCTCCTAACATTAGCCGAAAATATCCTATGTTAGTTTTTCCTTGATTACCTATCTCTCCTTTTGTATATAACCATGTTCAGCAGCAAGTACCATCATATCAGAAAGATTTGCTGGCTTATCTTTTCTTATTCCTTCAGTATTTTCTTTGGTTCTATTATCAATTTTTCCAAGATTAGGTCCATCTCGTTGTTATTGTAGTTGTTGAGAATAATGAATGATTTCACATTGACTATATGCAATCGTATAATCTTTGACATTGTATCAAATTTGTTTTGCAATAGTATTATATGTATTTCCGCCTTTTTCTTTTCTAACTCCTTGTTCTTGATTTTCTCGATTTTGACTATCAAAATTTTGATTTTCATCAACAATAAAATGATGTTGTAGTATCTCTAAAATAGCCTGTGTCAATTCACCCATACCATAAATATTCCACGATGAAATAAGCTGCAATTATGTTATTCAAAATACTTATTCTGTTATTGTGTAGGATACTAATTTTATGATTTCATTGAAGTCATTGATTTCCACATTCAATATGTTTGTATGTAATAAAGTTAGAAATTTTACAATGATTTGTTTATGAATATTAAATTTAAATCAACTTTGTTTAGTTTAGTAGGAAAATTTTTTTTTGTCTAACTCGTTATTCAGTTCTACGATATCCTGATGATCAAATAGACTTAGAATTTGTCTAGTATCTTCTTTACTCATCGCACAATAGTAATTTAAAATCTGATACGTGGACAAAGATTCTCGATTCATTTCCATAAGTTTCTTCAAGAGTTTATCGTGCACATTTTCAATAATAAATGTAATTTCATACATTCCATTCAATGTACCAATAACTCGTATTTCTAAACTTGCTGGACCTCGTATTCTCTCCACACTCGATAACATACCTTTACATAAAGGACCTTCAATAGAATCTCATTATTTACGCCAGAAACTATGCTGAGAATTGATTATTTTGATGACTATTTTATTAATTTTTCATTTGAATTGTTGTTGTTGATTCATTAAATCAATTGTATCGATTTTACGAACTAGTTTTAGTAAATCGAATTCAACAAATTTACTATTGATTCGGTTTTGTATTGAAGCCGAAATCTGTGGCTTCAATTGTTCTAATAGAAAATTGAAGCTAATATCTGCTACTTTATTCATACCTTCTCATAATGCAGCTTCACCAACAGTTACTCCAGTAAACTTTAAAGCCAGGCTTATTAAATATTTTCCTGTCTGAATTAATGTTGTGCCTGCTAATTTTCCACTGGTTATTAATCGTGTATCAGCTTGCTCAAGTACTTCTTACCCTGCACCTGTCACTATAGTATGAACTCCCTTTGCTACATCCTTAATCGATGAGGATCCCATTGAAACAACTGAGATAATTAGACTTACTGCTTTTTGTTTTCCATAATCCGACCAACTAAATTGTCTTGTATTATAAGCTCAATAAGCAGTAAACAAATCTGATACTCACTCAGTAATTAGACCCATTTCTACAGTGACTCCAAATCCAGTGCAAACAAAGTACAACATCTACGACCATTTGAACAACATCTAGGATAGCTATGATAGCAATACTGAACCATGAAACAAATCTCTTTTCACTAATTTCAAGTAAATATTTGATGCCAAGTCTTGAAAACTCGGCAAGTTCCAAGTTTGATTTTGAATCATTCATGAATAATTCACTAAAAAGGTTTGACTTTGTTAATTTCTACATTTTCTTGATCGATTGGAGCTATTTCTATAAGTGTTTGTGCCTGAGAACTTGTTAAATGTTTAAACTTTAAACTAAAATCGAGATTCTTCTTTCTTATTTGTTCAGCAAGAGTTTGAGTCGTTTTCCTTCCTAATCTATCAAAATGAATGCTTATAGATTCATCGTTTAATCGTTTCAAAAGGTTTTTGAAATCTATATTAATGAAATGAATATAAAAATTTGTATCCGAACAAATAGATATGATTTGCTCTATTTTTTTTTTATCTAGATCTATTAATTTCATAACTGTTGTGTTTTGTATTTTTGTTGATTTTTCTCTCTGCTGTTGTCTTATCTACTAACTCCTTGATATTGTCAACATTCTTTTCTAAAATAACACAACTCAATATTTTTCATGTCTACAGAGTGAATAATTTCTAATCACTTTTCTTTTCTATCGAATATTTCAAGATTAATGTTATCAGAAATTATTTTTGTTAATTTTTCTAAAATTCTGTCTCGATTCAAACAAAGAAACTCGACAGTTCATTCTGAATGATTTATTACTTCTTTTTTTTTAAACTTTGAATATTTCATTGGCATATACAAGAGTCAAATTATAACGTATATTATCTTCTTCTTGTTCGTCAATTATTTTTATTGCATCTCTTGCTTATAAACAAAATTTTTTTCGTATTTTATTATTATCAGGAATAACATCTAAATTAACCTTGCATGAATCAGAAGCTAAACAATCCGGCAAAAAATGACGATGAAAAAATGAACTTTTATCTTTCAATTGTGTTAGAGCTACCTGTTTTGTAGCTTCTTGAATTTCGATATTAGGATTTATAAGCTCTTTCAATGTTTCTGAATTAATCTGAGATATACTAACGTTAATATCGTGGTAGTCACTATTCAAAATACTTTTTTCTTTCAAAATACCTACTATTGTAAGACTTAAAGGATTATGTAGGGCAGGTTTCTATTGTTGGATGTAAGTTTTTTATAAATTTTAGAGATTTCGTTCCTATCAAAAATAGTCTCATCAAAAGATAAACGTAAAAGCCAATCACTCAATTCAGGATCATCTATTGTCCATTTAGTTATTTTCTTTGCTGTTTTATGTTCATAAATAACTGTAAATTTATTTTCATCTTTTTTTAACAATTGAAACTTCTTCACACTTTCAATAGCAACTTTATGTCGATTGACATGATCGAATGATATTAAACGAATATCGCACCATTTTCTAATGCCTTTCTCAATTTCATTATGTAAAATTACTCATTTTAACACCACTCTTGTCTGCATTGCTTTTCATTTTTTCATAGTCAATTATTTCCGTTATTTGTATTAATCTTCGAGATTTTCTAATAGCATTTACAACATTTTCTAAACTTTTACAATAACTACCTAAGATATTAACTTTTTGTAAGGTGCCGGAAATGCAAAATTGGAGTGAATTTTGTTTCTCATTCTTTTATATATGGTTTGATAGAGCTTGAAAAGCTGATCACGAATATATATTTTTTATTTCGTTTCGACCTCTNAACTACAAATCATTCATATAATTGTTTGAAATATAAATATCAGTTACATACAAAACGACACGTAAATATTATTTTCAGTCAATTTTTTAGAATTTTTGGAAAAATAAAATTTAATTAATTCTGAGAAACGATGATTTTAAAGATTAACTAAGGGTTTGACAATAAAACTAGGCTACATACTTATTGCTAAATTTTCTGTAGGAATAGGACAGAAAAATCATTGGTTCCTGGTGAGGTATTATAAAATACAAGTTAAGAATTCCGTAACTTTAAAAAGTGTTACATCATGTGGTAAAAAGAGAAGTTACGTTAAATATATATGAAAGTCGGGAGCAAAACAGTTAAAAGCACGTGAAAAGATGTACACTTTTTGTAGATGAAACAGATGTTAGTGTCGATCACAGACTTATTATTGATTATTATGAACACATAGCTGTTCGAATGGTGAAGTCCGAATTATATTAGCGTTTCTGCAGATAAGGGCAGTTTTCTACATGTACCCAAGCATGCTAATTCGGCTAGTAGTTATCATGAGCATGTTTGTTTTCGCTATTAAAATGATTTTTGATCCTTGTAGCTACTTTGCCTTGTTTATTGTTTCCGGAAGCTTGAGCGATACATACTAAATAAACTACAGTAAAACCTCCCTTAGATGGGCACCAATGGGACTTTTTCAAAACGCCCACCTTACGGAAGTGCCCGTCTTATAGAGTTTACATATATCGACTACTGGTACGTTATTCACTAGCTAAACTGTAAACAACAGTCCTACTTATATGTTCTCGATTTGCTCTTAGTATTTTGATTCTATTCAAACTGCACTTTTGTCAATTAGAATCTATTTTTAACTAAGTTTATTTTCTATTATCTTATGTGAAATATTTTTCGATCTTTGTGCCACGAACCATGAGAAAGCAACTTCATCAATGTTGTGATCCGTCTCGTCTTGTAGTTTGTGCTTGATACCTTCATTTGCATTTGACTGAAAATCCTGTTTGTATTCATCTTTTCGTTGACGAATATTGTAAACAGTACCTTTTGACACCTTGTACTTGTCACATAATTTGCATTATGATAGTCCAGCACCATCAGCATAGTCATTGATCAATGCAATTTTCTCATCGAGTGAAAGATAGTGACACAATGTCATTTTTCAATGATTTTCAAAAAAACAACAAATCACACGACTATTTATACTCTTTTTATCACTGACAAGACAATTAAAACCGTAGAGATGAGTTATTTTGTTTGTCATGTCGGACGGAACTCTCCTCTCTCCTATTCAAAGAACAGAGAGCGACGAAACGAAAAAAAACAGTGTAATAATTGGTATATTCACTGTAAATGCCCATACAAGAGAGGTTCAATGGCACAGTACGTCGTACAAAGTAGTGCCCACTTTGAGAAGCAGGAGGTGCCTTTGTTATAGAGACTCATTTCCAGCAAAAAATGGTTGGTCGTTCCGTCAAGTGCCCACATTATCTAGGTGCCCTTGTTATAGAGAAGAAGAAGAAGAATACCCCACCTCTTGGCTACCTTGTAGTATAGAGTGCTGTCCGAGGACAGTTTCGAGAAGCTCGATATTTTCCTACATCTATTACTAAATGTAGCTCTGAACAGAAGGCCGACCTGACTCAGAGCTCTTCTCGCTTAATTTCTTAAGCTCCCAATACAGTCTGACTAACCACATACTATTCACAGGGACCATTTAGTGTATGTCAACTACGTAGTCAATTTGTTATCAGATGGGTGGTTCGAGACAAAACAGCCGTTATCGACTTGTCCAAGGTCATTCTATGACTGATGGAGGCGAAGTTCGAACACAGTATCTTGTGGATATGTGTCAAGCATCTTAAACATTCAGCCATAGCGCCTCTTGTTATAGAGGTGCCCATTTATGGAGGTTTTACTGTATGTACTCAGTACGTGTTATGACACATAACATCGACTAACCAACGATATAAGAAAGAAAGAAAAATATATATACATGTGAGAGACATGCTTTTGAACATATGTCTAAGATCCACAAACAAGGAACATACGAAATAGAAAGAAACGAATGAAATGTACGTATAATCATTTCTTCATTCAAGAATAAAAGACCAATGAATGGACGAGTCGTTAAGAAACTACTTTTATGCAGTGAACTTTTCATTGATTTTTAATATTATTGTTTTTTGCAATTAATCGCATATAAAATTATTTGTGTTTTCTATCAAACAAAATTTAATTCTCCAAAAATTCTAAAAAATTGACTGAAAA